TAGTTTCATCCGGGCATTATTGTATAATATACACGTACTTCGTAGGTTCGCCCTGTGAATATAATTACAATGGATGCAAATGTTTTTGAGTTGCAATATTCAGGTAGGTTTTAAAAATATATTGTAACTCCAAATATAGGCAAACAAAGAATACTCAAAAGAGAGAAACAAATATGCAAAGGAAATCGTTTGCGTTCCCTTGTATTAATTACAAACAAAGAAACATAGAAAAAACAACACTAAAACGTTCACTTCTATATTTGGATACAAATCCATAACCGACTTGGTTTTAGACCACCATAAAACAAATATATTTTACCTAATCCATGAAGTATGCATTAATTTGGTAAACAAGCACCATTGACCAAAAACAAGGTGCAATAGTGAATCCACGAGGAATAGCTATGTAATGGAATAGCTATGATATATCATGATAATTATGACGAAAACAATCTTATGGAAACTGCAAACAACAAGCTGAAAGAAAATTGTTGACACTAAAATGGGTAAGCCAGCCCCCTCTACCGTTGACCTTGGGTATAAAACTGCCAAAAAATCTAGAACTCCTTCCAGAGATCACACTTCCACAGAGATTTTGCAACACCTTGAAGATCATCGTTTGATTGTTGGTGGGATTATTTTTTAAACAAGTCATTAATGGCTGACTGGCTAACTGGCTGGCTGAATGAATGAATGAACAGATTTTTAAAAAAATGGATGAATGGATGTATGGATGTATGGATGATGGATGAATGAACGAATGAATGATTCTACTCTCTATAACAGAGGAGTCAAAATCAACTATTCCAAGACATCTAGCCCGGACAATTAACTGCCTCACACATACTCTAGGAGAATTACCCCCGAATATCTACACTTAACAATCACCTCTCTACCAAATGGAAATCACACCAGGACACTCCTGCACTGGACAACCATCCCTCTAGGACATCTACCTTAGGGCAATCACTCCCGGAAAGCAACCCTAGTCGACTCACTCGGGCATCAGCCCGATTTACTATATATACAGCAGAACATCTACTAACCCAACTATCATCGGACAACTATCCCGGACAACTACACTGGACAACCACCCCTCTAGGACATGTACCTTAGGGCAATCACTCCTGGACAACAACCCTAGTCGACTCACCCGGGCACCTAACCGACTTACTACAGCAAACCATCTACTAACACAAATATCCCCGGACATCTAATACGGACAACTACACTGGGCAACCACCTAACCTAGGGCAGTTACTCCGGACGACAGTACTACACTGGACACCCACCCCTCTATGACATCTAACATATATAGGGCGGTTACTCCGGACAACTTCACTGGACAACCACCCAGTGGGACATCTAACCAGTTACTCCGGACAAGTACACTGGTCAGCACCCCTCTAGGACATCTACCTTAGGGCAATCAATCCCGGACAACAAGCCTAGTCGACTCACCCGGGCACCTAACCGACTTACTACAGCAAACCATCTACTAACACAAATATCCCCGGACAACTACACTGGACACCCACCCCTCTAATACATCTAACCTATAGGGCGGTTACTCCGGACAACTTCACTGGACAACCACCCAATGGGGGACATCTAACCTAGGGCAGTTACTCCGGACAACTACGCTGGACAACCATCCCTCTAGGACATCTATACCCTAGGGCAGTTACTCCGGACAACTACACTGGACAACCACCCCTCTTGGACATCTACACTAAGGAACATGAACAACTACCCTATAGTCAACTCCCTCGGGCACCTACAATGTACCCGGATATTTTCTAGAACACCTATAAGCCAGTTTACGGTTGCAGTCTGAGCATGAGCAGATAAAGGTCATTTGTACCAAAAAAGGTAAAACCCACAAAGATGAATACTGGATATGCGCTCATGAAAGTTATGTAACATTATTCATTTATGCACCAACGGTACATTCTAAGATACGCAGGTGGAAGTATTCTTTTCAAGAGGGCAAACAAAAGGTATTCATGAAGCACATCTAGGACATTGGCAGTTATTATTCTAAGATGCTCAAAGTGGAACTTCTCCGTGTGTAAAAGATCTGTGGATATCTGGGGTCATTTGTACCATGTGCTATCTGTAAACTCCCTTATTCTCGGACAATTATCCCCAGTAGGAGAAAATTATCAAAACGAAGTAATCAGATCGGACAGTTGTCCTTTTAGTAAATGTAGAGCAGGGTTGATTAACAAAAATAAAAGTTTCTCGTATCAATTTCGCTTATGTTTCTTTTTTAAAAAGAATAATTTAAATTCGTGTCCTTGTTTAAATCGGGTGCGTCATTCTTGTTTGTTCTTTCAACTGTATTTGCGACGAAAATTTAAAACAAAATGAAATTGTTTTCTTCAAAATGTATAAGAAGCAAACGATGAAGAATATCACAGATTTTTTGTTGACCTCCCTCTCCCCGCCCCCTCTCCCCGCCCCTTCTCCCCGCCCCCTCTCCCCGCCCCCTCTCCCCGCCCCCCCTTTCTCTCTCTCTCTTCCGCCCTCTCTTTCACTCTCTAATTTTTTATCTCTTTCTATTATCTCTCGCTCCATCTCTTCTCTCTTCCCTCTAAATCATTTCTCTCTATCTCTCTCTCTTTTTCTCTCTCTTTTTTTTTCTCTCTCTCTTTCTCTCTCTCTCTCTCTCTCTCTCTCTCTCTCTCTCCGTATCTATATTATCTCAATCACTCTCTCTCTTTATTGTTTTTTCCTAGTTAAAACACACCTCTGCCTTTCTTAATTATGAAGGTGCCTAAAAAAAGTTTAATTAAGTAAGCTGTTATTTTAGAAATACTCTAAACCACTACATTCTTAACATAACGAAACGCGAAATAAAACATACATTCCCACCTCGGCCAGACATTAATTAGTTGCACGTTTTATATATGTTTTCTTATAAACAAACATTATAGACGTAAACTAAGAAGACTTACAAAATGTTATTGCTAATCCAAATCGCAAAAACAAGTACATGTATATTTATAAATTGCTTATATAAAAATGGCTTATCATCAAGTTCATAAACGGAGTCATAATGACACTGATTTGCGTACTAGGGCATACTAGGGGAGGCTTTCATATACGGAATCCTTCCTTTCTGCCTATCCCAAATGCTCTCATAAATCTTGTTCTTCGCTTTATTTTATCATTAAATTCTGCATTTGAATGTTTTAAATGTTTTTTTTTGTGAAGAATGTTGAATAAACTTAAAATTGAATTGAATTGAAAAACTTGTTCTTTAGGAATTTAAATATGTCGATAATTTGAGGTAATCAATATAATAAGAAAAACTATATCTGTTATGTGCAACATTGGACAAAATATCCATAGTTCAGTGAATCAGGGCTCTGCAACGAAAGAAAAATATGTCTTTGACGGATAAACAGGGGGGGGGGGGGTCAGAGCGAACTTTTTAGAGGTCGCTTTTTACCCTTATGGGTGTATTTACCATTAAAAAAAAATATATATTTGACCGCTTCGAAATCGATGTCAATATTGTCAATTGCCTTTAAAGATAATGTAATTAAATATACTGGACATGTAATTTCATTGTTGCAGACACTATGTAGATGTCATTTTAAATCGTTCATTGAGTAAAGAATAATATCAATGACGTAATAATTATGTTTAAGATCAACATCCAAACTGTAACAAATTGATACAAAAAATTAAAATAAAATAAAATAAAATAATGGGACACATAATATTTGGGTGCCTGGGACTGCACAAAGATGTAGCACTATATTTTGGTCTAAAGTTCTATTTAAGATATGACAGAATTCCAAGAGAAATTCTTTTCATGGGACACTTTCACTATGATTATCGTCCACGTGAGCATAAGAAAAATAGAAAATACTCACAAAGTATCATTCACCTAACAAAAGAAGATTTGGGTGTATGGGACTACACTAACAAGTAATGCAATATTTCAGTTCAAAGTTGTAAATTTGTTGTTTGGGGCTTCATTGACCATTCCCTATTTTGAGTACCAAAGTATTAACCTCATATTCGCTCGTCGTCCAGGTTACTGGTATTAAACAACAGAGCCTGCGCATGAGGTTCACCGCGAAAAAACTCAAGCAACGGACTGGAGCAGGGCAAGTCAGTAATTGGGGCTGATGTAATCACTACACCATTGTTTAGAACAAAATTGGGTGGGATCAGGAACCTTGACAACTTGGCCAGTATGACGTCACACTTTGGTACTCTTGTATGCATTTCTCATTGTTTTCTCACATCTACTATTTATAAATAAAATAAAAATATGTTTTTACAGATTAGTCAGCAAGCAACCATGACTATTATTAATATCAACTACTAAGCCTACGTGGGTGTTAATTGTTAATTGGGTGGCAACGTAGTATCTTTTAAATTGTTCATTTTTTTGCTTGTGTTTTTTAACATCTGCAACTGACAAATAAAAAAATATGTTTTTTTACAAGCAGCTTTGTCAGCAAACATCAATGACTAAGCCAAGATTAACCACTAGCCTACGTAATTATAAAATGTTATGTTTTAGTAGTTTATTTTTTTTTTTTTTTTCGTTTTAGCTATTGCGCTCGTAATATTTGGATAGGCCTATCAAAATGAAGAATCAAAGAAACATTGATTTCACAAGCCACATCTGAGCTTTGAGACTACGTCGCTCAACAAGAGCCTGAGAGCTCAGCAGTTTCATTGGTGCCCGAGGAACCGTCATCGGCCAACCAGCTCTCCCGGTTCCCCTCCAGATAGATCTCTCAAAGAACCACTACCAGCACCACCGATACCAGCCGCTGGCTTTCGATTTTCTCATCCGTTCCAGTTTTCTAGCCAATGCAACCCCTTCGAGGGACCAAACCCGAAACGTCAATCTTCTTTACGGGGGGTGGGCAGTGAGTCGACCCATAAGGGGGGATCATAAAACCCACAATACACACTTTACCAGAGTCTCGCTGTCGTCGACCAAAGAAGTTTGTTCAGAGTCGGTTGAGGCTGGTTCGCAAAGGAAGTACGTACTGACAGCTTCTGTAACCATAAAACCACAACACGAATACACTTCAGACTCCATTTCAACACTGGATTCATAACCGATATGTTAGCTATTCATTGAGACTTAACGGCGTTACCTACAGTATTCGTGAATTTCTGTTTTCATCATTTCGCATTCTCGGATTTCTCTGGGACGCATCGACGCTGATGGTTCGTATCAAGCCAAGGATAGATTATTCTTGAAAAATGCCTTCATTTTGTCTAATTCTTTTATGTCTTACATCAAACCAAGCTTGCTCCTAGTTTAGTAGTTTTTACGTTTGAAAAGTAAAGAGTTACCCTTTTCCTGCTTTTCATCTGACATGTTTGGGATTTGTGAACATTTTTAAAATTTTAAACAGCTCAACATTGTCTTTGTTTCTTGCCGAGAGTATACACGTTCTTGCTGGTAATATTATATCATTTTTATCTTAATTAAGTGATTACTTATTACTAATTACTATTCAATACTTTTGTGAAGAGTTAGGGTCGATTCCAAACATATCGATCATGTTAATTTTCCATGTTTCGTATAGGATTGTTATTATTATTTAAGTTTTTTGTCATTTAATTATATCCGAATTCCATTATTAATATTATGTTGAACGGCTTCTCAGCGTCACATGTGCATAAACAGTTGCATAATGCTCGAAGATAACGAAAGTGTTTCTGAAATTATCATGACAATTTACTTCAAATATAACAAATTACCATAAATATAACGATGCAAATTTTACCCCAGTACAAAATATAAGCTCGCATAATCAAGACGGCTATCTGATTTCAGTATTATTGTCTGTAATTCTTTTGCAGACCCCTATGAAAAAGCAATATTCGTGCTGATCGGGGTCTTTCATCCCACTTTGTAAATAAAAAAAAATAAGGTTATACAACGATATCACATGTTTCGATCGTTAGCTAATAATGATCGATAACTTATTTTTTAATCCACTCCATAACTGACGACACTTGACGAATATGATTATGATAATTGATAATATCATTAATTTAGTTAGGAATCTGAAAGGAGTGATATAGATCTGTAGAAAAGTTCATTAAGTTGATAAATCTTGCCGATCATTTTTTCGGTGATCAGCATTTAAATGCAAGTTTATTGTAATAATATTTTACTCTGATGATCAGTGTCAATGAAAAGGCCAATATCATTCAATGATTTCATTTGTATTCGATGAGCTTACCCAAATCACATTCAAACGTTTTAATGTAAAGTATAATTTGTTTATGTGTAGACAATTTTCACTTGAATTTATTCAATCCATAAATAGTTTGCGAGACAGCTGTTACTGCTGGAGGTCGAAACATTCATAAATTCGGCATTTTTCAAAGGAATATGTACCTAATTATTATTCAATACAATTACAAACGCATGGGGGTCGACATAATTATTCACGAATCCAATGTATTCGTGACAAACACAATCCACATTTTCTATTAGTCTTAAATTATAGACATTTCGATTGAAATGCTATATCCATGTACAACTAGATGTAAACATATCAAATTGTAATTTATCATGAATAATTTTACTTTAGAAAAAGTGACAATTTGAAGAGTAATAATGGATTTTAATACAATTACTAATTGGAGAAGCAAGGAAGACATTTGGAATATTACAAATCTTTGTGTTTGGTACAGGTGATAACGATATTTAAAATGTTATCCATATATATATTATATAATATATATATATATATATATTATGTCCCATCGAGATATTCACAATAAATAGCCTAAGTAAATATTAAGACCAAAATGGGGAAAAGGGTGTGAGGATTACGTACAATACATGTGTTTTGCGTACTTAACATTTATCAATGCAATGTCCATATATAGATAAAAGACGTACTGTATTAATATATACTTTTTTTTATTCTTTGGGCCATTGCTTTCAATCTTATCTTCACCGCCTTCCACACGGCGGTCCTGTTCTGGCTTTCTCGCCGACTCGCGCAGGCTGCATGCATCAGGAGTGCATTGATGGAAGTTTTTAGGCTGTAAGAAGGCCTGCAAGGTTGCCTTAACAAAAATTAAGGTACAGGGGGGGGGGGGGGGGGGGGGCTAAGCCTTGACTTTGAAGTAGGCTTGTCGGATCTTACAAGTAACTTAATAATCTTCTATATGCATAGGATAGGTGGTTTAAATCTTATGCAACTATAAAGTTATATAACTAGGACACGTAGTATACGAAATGTATTTATACAAAACTTTTTATGTTTTTCGGGGCAAGTTGGTATTAAAAAAAAAATTGAGATTATGTTTAAGAAATCAATGTGAAGTCATAGTACGGAAAAAATAATGTTTATATTACTCCATATTCAAATACTGTTACACAATCAATAATAGTACACCCTTCCTATAAGAGAGCGCCTATTTTGAGGTATAGGGTGTGGTAGTTTAGTATAGGCCTGCCTGTAAACAAAAATGGGATAAAAAATAAGGATAGGTTTTCACTGATCAAGATCTCCTCGTGAACACATAATCTATTTAATAAAAAAGAGACATTTTGTAGGTTTCTACAGCTTGATTTCTAATTGCGTCAGTTTTTTGCACATTAATAAATTAAAAGGATTCTTTAATATGTCAATTTCCAGTACCGAAATGTTTTTTTGAACATGTTGAATGATCAGTGGTACAAATTTAATTACATGTTATGCAGTTGAACAGTGCTTGTACTATAAACCATTATTTATATTGACTGTTCTCGGGAAGGTCTCTGGTAGAGAATATTTTATGAATAACAATTTGTTTGCATCTTTTCTTACTGATGCTGTTGCCTTTTTCGCACGCTATATTATTCGAAGATTATTTAGCATGGCTTCTGCGTGAATTATGAGGCTTCAATTTTCTCATACGTCAAATAAACTTTTTTTTTTCTCTCTTCTTATATATCCCTTCCATATTTAGCTACACTGCATACTTAAAAAGGATATCGTGTTAATTGAGACTTAGGAGAGAGGCTGGTTAAGAAACTTCTGGAGCCCACGTTACTTAGCGGAACGTTACGGTAAATCTTCGCCCATTTGTTCCTGGTTTCCTGCTGGCTTTTCGCACTCGAGAAGCGCAACGGGCGTTTGGTAGAATTAGTTTCATCTTCGACCATTGAGAACTGTGTTCTTCATAGTATAGCAGCGTTGCAGCAACGCCAGCAACCTCACCAGCAACATGCCAGTGATGGGTTGCGATGGGGAGTCGTCGACCAATTCACCTGGTTCTTTTATCAGCAACATTAGCCTTAACAGCAGCATGAGTAGCATGAGCAGCGGCTCCAATACCACTGGTGGTGTAGGCCACCACGAACTCCTCGCCGGCAGCCCGGCGGTATGTGCCGGGTGCGGCGGCCGCATCTGCGATCGGTTTTACCTGCTAGCGGCAGACAGACAGTGGCATACACAGTGCCTCCAGTGCTGCGAGTGTAATGTTCAACTGGATAGCGAGTTATCCTGCTTCGCCAAAGAAGGAAATATTTACTGCAAGGAAGACTATTTAAAGTAAGTTCAAACAATAATTTCTTCAAATTTCATTTCTGTATTATTTCACTTGAAAGTTCACTTGATGCCTTTGTTTTAAAACAAAAATCAATGGAAATATTTTCATGCTCACACAAAAACACACAAGTAATTCCACCGGCTGACTATTGCCCCGCAATAGCCTACCAAAGTAACTCAACATGGGCTCTTCTTCATATTGGTGGTTTATGTATCTGTTAAGTAAGAGCATTATAAAGGTAATATAAAGGCATTTAGAAAAAATAACTAATAAGAATGTCCAGATAAATAGTTGGATCCGCTGATGAATTAAAAAATGTATTTAGAAGAAGAAAAAAGCAAAACTGTATTCTGGGGCATAAGTGTTGGTCTGAATTTTTTTCTGTTCAATTTACCCATTGTACGAAATGACTACACTGGAACAATAGTATTTCTCCGCAATCTTTTTCCAACTCTGTGGATGGATAAGAGTTGGAAATTGATCGCGGAGAAATATTATTGTAAATCTAGTAGCGATTATAAATTGCTTTTAGGAAGAGGCTCACCGCTAAAAAAAATCTGCCCCCTAAAATCAACAACCCCCCCCCCTCCCCATTGTATATTCGAATTAATAATTGAATCTCTGGTCCCAACATCAAACCAATAATATTAAAATATCTTTGACGAATAAAGCCAAGAACGAACATCGCTATAGAGCAAAATTTGTATGAACACCCTATACAGGTATAGCATATGATAATTATAATCATGTACACAATCCTGACTTATCACCAAGAGCTCCACCCATATTTTGTTACGTGTATATACCATCACCCTTTAACGAACTTGCTGCCCTTTCTCGAAGTCGTGAATTAGAATTTAATTGACATTTTAATTGGAAGTATAGGCCTATATTTCATTTTTAGGTCATCTTTGTTTTATTGACGTGAATGTATTGGGCGTATAACCATGGTGGCTTAGTGGTCACGAATGTAATTGCGTTGATTGGTAAAAAGTTTTGTTTGGGGTTGCCTTAAAGGAAAAGTGTCCCCCATGAAAAATTATTGATTTTAAGATTCCAGTGGAAATTTTTTAAGATCTAATCTATTTTTAATTTGATAAATAAAACACACTTAAAACAATATTAGAGGTGTTGTCGTGTAGGGGTTTATTCTCTGAGCTCTTATAGATCATGAGGTCTGGGGTTCGAATCAATGTCACACCATGAAATTCCTTGGCAAAACATTAATCTCCATTTGCCTCTCTCCACCCAGGTGATGTAAATAGGTATCGGTATAATTTCCTTTAATGCCCAAATCGGGTAGCGAGGCTAGAGTAGTAAGGCTAGAGCCAGCGTTATTATTAAGGTGCCTATAATGCATGACTAATTAGATAATGAAGCGCTAAAGGGGATCATTAAAATTAAGCATTTCTCACTCAATTATTCAATGAAATAAATTCATTGTAGAGGAATCGAAGTAAAGTGGTCTTAGTACCAAACTTAATTGAGATGCGAAAAACATGTAGGTTCCAGTCCCGACATGGCGCTCATATCCTTAGGCAAGATATAAACCTGCCTTTGCCACTCTCAACCCGGGGGTGGGAAATATATGCTATGATTTTCAGTTCAAATCATTGATAACGGAGATACCATGGCCCCGTCTTACAAAGAGTTACGATTGATCCGAATCAATCGCAAGTCCTCTAATCGATCGCAAGTTTGCAGTCTCCTATCTCTTATGTACATAGTTGCGATTGATATCAATCGCAAATAAGTCATTATCTCTTTGTAAGACAGGGCCCAGGTTCATTTTTAAGGAGCGCAAGTAATGAGACAAATAGATGAGCGCGATACAAAATAAAATTATTACAATTCTTAAAGCGTTAAGAAAGAGCTTGCATAACCCAAAACTATCTTCAATGAAAGTGAACTTCAATTTGGTACGACTATATTAATCTGTTGATTGTTTTTAACGGTTTCACATTTTGTCTTTTAATTTCAGGCGATATGTACGTAATGCTTAAAAGAGTTATATATATATAGCGACCATGACCATTTCTAAATTTTCAATATACTGCTTCAGTACATTGACGTAGATACCTATTATGAAGATTGCATGTATATAAAACATGAATTCCTATACTATTTTTTTTGGTGGTATACTTTAAAGAAATTGTTTATCAGGCCGTTTACTATGATTAAACACGATTAACCTTGTTAAACAAGCTTTCCTTATATGATGATTTAATTCGACTACGTTATCAAGCAATATGTTTAGATCGTGATTAAGCAAATCAGATAAAATGAAATTATAACAAAATCAAGTCTAATCAAATCAATCAAATCAATCAAATCAAATCGACTCAAATCAATTCAAACCAAGTCAAATCAATCAAATCAATCAAATCAATCATCAAATCGAATCGAATCAATTCAAACCAAGTCAGATCAATCAAATCAATCAAATCAATCAAATCAATCAAATCAATCAAATCAATCATCAAATAACATCGAATCAATTCAAACCAAGTCAAATCAATCAAAATAATCAAATCAATCATCAAATCCAATCGAATCAATTCAAACCAAGTCAAATCAATCAAATCAATCAAATCAATCATCAAATCGAATCGAATCAATTCAAACCAAGTCAAATCAATCAAATCAATCAAATCAATCAAATCAATCATCAAATCGAATCGAATCAATTCAAACCAAGTCAAATCAAATCAAATCAAATCAAATCAATGGAATTTGAAGTTATACTGATACAAGAATTCATCAATCAAAATAAGCACAGACCATTTCACTCATCTAAATAATTATGATGGTTATGTTTGTTTCCATTAGATTTTAATCCCTGTGATGTAAGATCATGTTTGCAAAAATGTTTTTTATTTAACTGATTGGAAATCGATCAGATATATATAAGGTCAGACAGGGTTCTTTTGGATTTTCTTTTCAGACGTGAGCAACCTCCAAGATATTTTTTAAAGAAGAGTATGTGTAGGACAATCTACCAGCTCGAAGTACCAAGACTTCCCAAAGATTTTAATGAAATCCATTTTAGATCCACGAGTTCTCACTTTCTTGTCCATTAAAATTAATTTCATCGTGGTTTCTTTTACGTTTATTAATGATCATCTTCATAACTTCTTTTATCGTCCGTCTTAATGTTTATCTGAAGAGAGTACACAGTACAATTCAATACATTTCATTTATAAAGTACCCTTTCAAGAGCTATAAAGCGCATTAACATACGAAATCCTGTAAGATTTGAAAGTTAATTAATTTTAGAAAAGATTTGTTGTCTTCTCCATCTTTTACTTAATCATGCATGTTATACTATATGGTTATGTTATTCATGGTCATAGAGGTGTCGCAGTATAGTGATTCATGCATCTGACTTTCAATTACATTTGTTAAAGAGTTCGAATCCCAGCCCGGCTCTGACGTCCTTTTTAAATCCCCATTTGCCACTCTCCACCTAGGTATAAATACCTAGCAAATGCTGGGGTAATAATAATTGCAGGGCCCTCACAGAGAACAGCATTGATGTTGATGAAGTTTTAATGGATAAATGAAATTGTTATCATTATTGTTATCATGATTATTATTATGATAATTATTATCATCATTGTTATTATTATTATCTTCATAATATATTTGTTCTCTCCTGATTTGATGGCACTCTTCTAAAGACGGTATGGAATCAAGAAATGCGCCCGTTGTCACGTGGGCATCGAATCCCACGAGATGGTGATGCGAGCCCGTGAGCTGGTCTACCATCTCGCCTGCTTCAGCTGCGCCGTGTGCAACCTCGAACTCCACACGGGCGACTATTACGGGATGCGGGAAAACCTGGTGTACTGCCAACTCCACTACGAAACCCTCTTCGTTCCGTCCTCCGATCAGAGCACCTATCACCATCTCCACCACGCCTCGCCTCCTCCTCCGCAACCAACCCTCCATAATCTCTCGCCCAGTTACCACACCCATGGGGGCTCACCCAACCCGGGGGCGCCGTCGACCGGACACCCCTTCTTCCAGAATGGACTATCCCCCATCCACAAAGGGAGACCACGCAAACGCAAGGGTGTGGACCATCTCATTGGCTTTGGAATGGGTAAGTTAGCATGACTTTGTGCCCCCTTTTATATTTCGTTTCACTGTTTTATGTTGCGATACTTGTCAGAGAAGTGTTCAATGTTTTACGATCTACTGTAGATGATATTCTACAACAAAGTGTTTGTGTTTGCCATGAACTAATTCAATATGTTTCGTTTCAATCACAAGATAAAGTAATTAAGAAACCCATAAAAAAATTACCTGAAAACGCCCGTGTTTACAGTCATGAAATGAAACGTAAATGAAAACCAGTTGCAATATCAACAGCCAAAATAATGGTAATGACACAATGGAAACTTCATTATACAAATTAGCTAACGAGAGGCATTAAATAATGAATATATTGACGATAACGACGTTCACACCTATAACCTTTATAGTCCTGGGACCCATTTCGCAAAGCCTTTTTTCAATGACAAATGACAAATATCAGTGACAAGTCTGCTGATAACCAATCAGAAGCAAGGATTTCAGTAGCTTATAACAACAACTGTCATTTGTCACTAATGACAAGTTTTGTGAAACGCCCCCCAGTTGATGAAAAGTTTGAATGTCTCGAAAAGGAAATGATGCGGAGTGTCCATAATGATGATTGTGGTGGTGGTTACGAAAGTTACGATTAAGAAATTGTCGCGCTATCGTTATACCGAAGCTACAAAACATTAACAATCGCTTTTTTTTTTTTTTTTACTTGAATTTTATCTCAAATTTTAGATAAGACTTTTCTCCCGACTACCTATTTTTCATTGCTTCATCTCGAAGCACTTGTACGTTTCCACGCATTGCCTTGATACACGGTGTTAATCTGTAGGCCTACATCGTGTCCTAGAAACTGAGATTATGACGGAGAAAACATATTTTGATCATGACCACTGTTACTTGAACAAAGAAAGAAACAAAGAAACGCCATTTTGTTTATGCAAACGATGACGTGACAGGAAATACCATATGAGATGATAGCATCACTATTTTGGAGAAAATGTATATGGTATTAAAAATAATGTTAGATGAAAGCTCCGAGCTTTCTTCCATCGAAGATTGATGTAAGCTGGGGTTTGAAGGGTTAGAGATCTTATTAGGCTTTCGGTTAGGTTAACGGTTAGCGTTGGATATCTAGGCCCGAATTCACAAAGGAGGTTTGTCGACAAACCGAGGTTTATGTACGTCATATGACGCGTTTTGACGCGTTTTTTTTTACAAACCTGGTTTGTAAATAACAAAAGGAGGTTTGTCGACAAACCTCCTTTGTGAATTCGGGCCATAGTGTTGGAACAAAGTTTGAAGTTAGGAAGGAATACGTTGATTCTTGGACATTTAGACCGCGGAGCAATGGTTGCTCGAACATTTTGTTGTAATACAACATACTAGGCCCACACGCAGTAGACTATACGGATTCAGGGAAAAGTAAGCCCATTACGTATTCAACCTGTCGATATCCTTTGAACAAAGAATAGCAATCGATTGAAGTCATGGGGTTATTTGAGTCAATGAAGTGTTTTCTATTGAACTGCAATTGATTAGATCAATTGTTTAACGAAATCGGTGAAAGAGAGCATAAATTGCGATAAGAATCGTGTAAATGACACTTGTGAGTTTTGAAGCGTAAAGAGGGTGAACTGGATGGATGGCGAGAGGGAGGGGGGGGGGGCACTCAGACGATTAGTAGGCCTATCCCAAATTCCCAATGGACAGGGCTTAGATGGTAACCATCAACGACCTTTCGATCTATAAAGTTACTCATTATGAGAGAGCAAATGTAACTAACATCATAATTGTGTTAAGGTATGATAATCATGAGATACAATAGGCTATATATATACATTGTTACCCATAACAAAAATTCTTATCACTTTTCATGTAAAGATTGTGACAAAATTTGAAGATTGGAAGAGAAGATCCATCATTAGCAAATCATATTGTGACAATCACTTATTCATGAGAAAATGTTGAGAAAAAAATATTCCAGCATTATGGGAAACAGTGTAATACATTTAATATTTATGTGTAAATTGGTAACATTTTCAGTTCACATACATAGCCATACTTTAAAATAACTTCACGTCATATTCGAGAAGTGTAACATATTTCAAGCACCGCATCCTAAAACAATAACATTTCTTTCATGCACACAATGTTTTCGCATTTGCTTACGCACGCGCACCCCTCTTATCAGAGACAGGAAACAATTTTTTGCCAAACACAAGCGATCGATATTTTCCAAACTGTCCATTTTGGCACTTCTTGCGGCCAAAATGGGAACTGTTTAGACATGTTAGACACTATGTTCTTTTGAAATGCAGCGTGCCTTTGGATTTCAAACATATGCACTTACAAAACGCAGCGAGAACTGACAAAAGTAGGACCGAGAGAGCAGAGAGAGAGAGAGAGGGAGAGATGATTTCAACTTTAGTTTCCTCCTGTGGCGCTCTTTTGTGGTGTGCGCGCGCGACCGTGCGCTAATGTGGGCGAAATTTTATTCACTGTGACCGACCGCACGCAAACTGCTCCACCTCTTTGCGCGAGCGAACAATGCTCCAATATTTACGTTTCCCGCCCTCATTCTTTCACGGTGAAGCCTACAAAAATCGGGGCTATTGTTGTAAAAACCCGTCCCTTTTCTTCCTCTCTCGTCTGTCTCCTTTGCCTGCTGGCATCAAGGCACTGTTGTGCGAGTGTGAAGCCATACACGTAAAGTGTGTTCTGGCCTCTTGACCAAATGTCTAAATGTGCGAGTTAAACAACAGATACTGAAACTGATAACATCTGCCCACAAATTAGTTTGTCTGTCTGCATTTTCAAAATTATCTCCATTCTTCTGTTAGAATACATCCTTTTCCCATCACCAGTCACCCTTTCTCTTATCTATCGGTCATTGTAGTTATGTCCCTGGATAATTTAGGCGCAACATGTCCGTACCCCGGACATTTTCCTGCTAACCCGGACATGATTCTCGTTGCCGCGCGGTGCCATGATCCCTTTCCCAAACAGACCATGACCTTGACTTTGAAGAAGGTCATGGTGATGCTCCTCCGTAAACAGAAGGGGTAAATAGTGGGACATCCGACCCCATTTGTACAGCTGCTCGCCTTAGAATCACAGAATAACACTTGCATAATCCACACCCACACTCGGACCCGGAGAGGGACTGCATTGGTGGTATCTCAAACTTTTTTTATGAAGGAAGAGGATGGGGGAAAATGCTGATGGTGAAGGGAGGAAGTCTTCCATTCGATGACTGATGTTTTGCATAGCATTATCTACGAAAGAGTACCAAATGTTCGAAAAAGTTTCAAAACTTTCGAGGTACATGATTGTCTTTACCTTCAGAGCAAATAACTCTAAAAGAAAGAAGCAAAATCAGAGAAGCAGATAGTTAAAAATTTGAACAAAATCGGACCAAACAAATAACAAATTATTGAAAGTCGCAATTGGCTGAATCGGCAACGTCTCTGTGATGTAGCGTAGGACAACTTTCCCATTTGTTCCAAAAACACAAAATGACTAAGACGTTAAAATATGTGAATCGGGCGGGTCTTTTCTTTTAGAGGACCTATAATAATATATTATACACAATATATTTTGAGTAGTGCCCCAAGGAAGACGGCACTTGGAAAAAAAAAGAAAAATCAGAAATAATAGTATTTTTGTACACCGCAAACGGGAGAGTTGTCAGTGACTCCGTCACAATCAACTGTCAAAATTGCCAATTCGACATTCGTATAGTTATCATAGCTATAGTGATCTCAAATTTTACACATTCATAACTCACTTATTAGTGATCCGATTTATATGTATTTCTACTACACGTCAAGACTACAAAAGACACCTTCACTAAGTGAAACAAAGCTCTTTATATAAATTTTGTAAGAGTTCAGTTATGGTAATAATTTCGGTCTTATTTACTCAGGGTATAGTCACATCGGTATTAATACTGCTCTCTCTGCGGGCCCCGCTATTATTATTACCCCAGCTATAGGCACCCATTAACAGCTCTGTGGACAGTGTTGAAATAAATGTTAATTAATATCCTGCCAAATGACACTAGTGTCAGGCTAGGATTTGAACCCTCAACCCTTGGACCGAGAGTCAAGTGAATAAACCTCCATACCACGACACCTCCACATACGAAATAGAAAAGAAAGCAGGAGAGCTAATCCGATAAAATGACCATGGTTCAAAGAATAGAAAGTCCAACTGACTTCCTATTGAAGAAATGTGATCATATTTCTGAGAGACTTATGGATTCCCAACTCCCAAGACAGTTTCTTCCAAACTTCGTCATCGTCGGAACGTAGAGTGTGCGATGGGCTTAAGTACCCCTGAATGACAGGCACGGCAAAAATGCAAATAGTCCACTTATTCTGAGAGGATTTGGCGAATACTGTGATGTCTGATCTCCAGAAAAACAAACATAAGATCTTTATGAAGCGAGACCCTCTATCTCTCACCTACAGTCGCTGTCAGATCAGAAAAAAATGTCGACACCCAATAAACGCGCGCTCCAGAAATCCCGCGCAATCGTGTGAGCTTTGCTGAGATAAAAACATACACAATTTTCATGACGCGCAGAATGCGAAGTGAAATACATCCTATCTGACGAAAAGAAAAACAGTTTTCCCGCTCGTTATCGAACCCTACATGAGTACTGGGGAAGTGCCTCGTCCCCGTTGCATGCAGTAAGCCCTTTCAAATATATTTATATACAATAATTTGACAAGGGCTTGTATTGGTGAGGGTATATGTTATTCGTGGGGCTTCGCTGACGCGCGCTGGGAAGTCGCGTAAATCGTTGTTCAAACAAATTTTCGAACACCGAGATTCGCGCCACGATCAATAAACAGGTTTAGCAATGGATCAGGAGTAGAGAATAAAAAAGGACAAAACACACCCAAGTTGATTGTACTGTTCCCAACAACATTTCAATCAAAAGATGAACTCTTCAAGTTTCAAATCAAATTGAAGGGAAAAAAACATCGAAATTAGCGCCTCTGTATTCTTATGTGGGATCCCCACTCGAAAATGCAGTT